GCGCGTGCAAAAAACCTCCAACAAGCAACCACGCCACCATGAGGTGATTTTATTCACCTGTTCCCACCAACCCCCCCAGGGAGGGCTTCCCCTTGCCACCCACGGCTGTGTCCGGAGCCATCCGAGTGCGACCCGGTGCCAGGAGCATCCTCCCCTCCTCGCCCTCCGGTACCCAGAGGCTCTCCATGCCTCACGGCAGCCGGAGCGGGGCACCGCGGCCATCAGGGTGTCCCTGGCCACGCACCGCAGTGGCAAGGGCCGGGGTTTTTTTGGAGTGCTTCTCTCCAGCTTGCTTTGCATTTAGCTAATTAAATGCAAGAGAGAGCTTTCTGGGAAAAATAGAACAATAACGCCACAGAAACGGGCAAATTTCAAACGCCTGGGTGGGGACGACGCCTCTCCCTGCCTTCAAAGGGCAGTGGGCGATGCTCCGACCGCCGGCGTGGGGGGGAAACTTGGGGTTTGCTGGTGCTGCCCTTTGCCTCGAGCTGCTGGGCCTCACGACACGGCCACGAAGCGTCTCCCGTCTTCTCTGCAGGGGCCAGAGGGTTCCAGCTGGAGCCCTGCGTTATCCGCGCCGCTGCACGGGACCTGGGTGTGAATTTCCTCGGTTTCAGCTCATTTTCCATCAACTCTGTTGAGGAGTAATAACCGAGGAGGACACGTGTTTGCCCTGGGGGAAGGGTGGGATGTGCAATGCGATGGCCGCTCCGGCGCAAAACCGGGAGCGGCAAAATCCTGTAACGTGATTTAACGCATTTTAAATCTCTCTTCCTCCTGCGCTTGGCTGTTCAGCCCCAGTGGCAAGGGTATTGCCTCTTGCTGTGGTTGGCTTTTTAAATGGAAATCATGAAATGGGCTGAACTCTTCTGTGGTTTTTAATTGAAATGCAACTGCCGTCCCTTAAACAGCGGGGTATTTTAGACATATTTCCCCTTCTGCTCAGAAAGATGCACAAAGCGCCGCCGCCGCCTGCCACGGTGCCGCGATCACATTAGGGTGCAGCCGGCCCCCCGCGGGGCACGTGGAGCTGCCCCGTGGCACGGGGTCTTCGGCTGAGCCGCCCCCTTGGGGAGATCGCTCTTGTTCCATGAACCGAGGCGACTGTTCCTTTCCTAACGCCAAAATTAAAAGTTGGACGAGCAGGGCCAGGCATTCGAGCCTGATTCCCTGCTCCTCCCTCACCACTGCACGATATTCCAGCGGAGGTTTTGGTACGCAAAGGCTTTTGGCTTACACTAAAACCAGAGGGGGATGAGTCCAAAGGCTGCAAAGCGAAGACATCCGCATTTTATATTCAGGCTCGAAAGGCTAAGAATGGAGAAAATGCGCACTTGGCAGTGTCATTTTTGTATTAATTCAGCCCTTACTGCAGGGATTAGCCTATTTTTAGCTGAGAAAGCAGCTCCCGGACGCGGACGAAGTGGTTGCGCTTCGTACCAGCAAAGCAGCCCCCAGGTCTCAAGCGCGTGCCGGGAGCCCTGGCAGCCCCCGGGGTCCGGCCGGGCAGAGCGGAGCCTTCCCGGGGCGCCCTGCAGAGCCCTCGGCGCGTCTTTGCTTCTCATCAGGTTAAAAACCAGCTGCAAGCGGGTAACGACGAGCTGATCGGCCGTGGGGACCGTTGGCCGAAGGAAACGATGCGCTCCCGGTCACGAGGAGCGTTGACCCCGACAGGGAGCTACGGCAATGGGGCGGGCCCCACACCGCCTCCTGTGACGGCCCACGTATACGTTCCCGTGGGGTACAGCCGTACGCAGCCCCCCCCAACCAGCAGCCCCGCTACCAGCTCTGCCGGCCGTGCCCCGAGGCCCGGCACGGCCAGGAAACCCCCTTGGCACTGCAGGGTAAGAGCTGGGGCTGGTTTAAAGTATATTTTCCAGACATTTTAAAATTGGAATATTTCACCTGTTCCATTCTGAAATTACTTTTTTTTTTTTTTTTTTAGTCCAGGGTTAGGACTGTCAGGGGTTCAGTGGTTAACCCCTCCTTGGCAGATGCAAACGATGGAAGGCAAGGGAGGTGCCCAGCACTGTATTTCCTTGGATTTTTGAGGAAAGGCCCCGGTCTGCGCTGTTCACCCCCGGCAGGCCTGGGAGAGGGCACGCTTGCACACCCGGCTTTACGGCTGGAAGGCAATAGGGTGCGCGGCTGCAATAGGGCACCCCGAAAGCAGAGCCACGTGCCAGCTTGGCGCGTGTTTGCCATCAGCTGATAAGGGAAGGCTTCAGATTTCACCCCGCAAAGCCTGTTTTTATTATTGCAGGCTGTGGGCGCTGAGGTTAGGGAGGGTTTTGTTGTTTTTTTGATTTTTAACCTATTTAAATATCGCTTGACGCTGTCCTGGGGATTGGGGGGAATGACCTGCATTTTATTTTAAAATGAACCATCTGGAGAGCTTGGCTTGGGGGACGGCAGGTTGATTTTGCTTCTTAGGTGATTCGGTTAAAATAATTCACTCTCGGTGCAAGAGCTGCTCAGCTCAAATCTCTCGGCTCCGTGAGTTTTGGAAGGAAGGAAGGAGGGCGGGTAAAGGCTGGGCAGCTCAGCAGGGAGGGCAGCACCAGGAGAGGGTCCAAAGCCGCGATGGCCATCCTTCCAGCCACAGGGAGGACTTTGGCTTGGAAAAACTCATCTTTTCCCAGCACTGGGGGCAGGATCGCCCAGGAAATCACCCCAAGCAGCAGAGCTGCTCCCCAGCGGCTGAGCGGTGCTTCCCAGCACTGACAAACCGCCCCGTGCCAGGGCACCCTCGGCTGGCCACAAGGAGGCTCTGGTGGCCACCAGCCACCACCAAACGTTCCCCTGCAGCCAAAGCAGCCGCTATTCATCCCTGGTTCGCCGCTTTTCCACGGAAGGACCGGTACCAGCAGTACAATGTGAGCAAAAGTCCTGCTCGCTGCAAAGGAGTTTCCTCCCTTACAGTAAAGGAGCATTTAAAAGTTTCCTGTTCCTCCTGGGAGGTGGAGGAGGTCGATGTAATCTGCAGGCGGTTTCATTGTTTTATTACACATTTTCCGGTCGCCGGCTGCAACAGGAACGCCTGGAGCACGGTGCCCCTCACGGGCCTCCACACCCAGCCCGCAGCCACTGACGCTGGGAACTTTTATGGCCGGAGCATCATTCCCCACCCCCCCACCACCCCCCCAGCAAAACACCCCAGGGAGATGGGGGGAGCGGCGTGCGGAGACGGGGTGCTCCGCTCCCGGTGCTGTGGGCCCTGCAGCACCGGGTACCAGCACTTTCTGTCCTTCTCCACATCCACGATACTCAAGCCGGGATGCTGCAGCCAAAACCTCTTTGCCAGCTGCACAATTAACTACGGTCATATATATTTAAGCACCGAGAAGAAAAATGCACCTGCTTTCCCATGCATGTCGGGCCTGTTCTCAGCAACAGAATATACACGTTTGCCTGGGTTCCCACCGCATGGTCGGAGCCCGGCTCCTGGCATGTTTGCCTGGGTTCCCACCGCATGGTCAGAGCCCGGCTCCTGGCACATTTGCCTGGGTTCCCACGGCATGGTTGGAGCCCGGCTCCTGGCACAAACGTCCTCATTCAGCCAGCTCGCTGTCAGCTCATGGCCCCATCCTGGCTTCCCAAAACCT